CAGCTACCCACTTTGGTTTAGATCAAACAGCTCTGAAAGCTAACCAATTCAGGGAAAATTTTACAAATCGATAGCCAATAAACTAACAAAACGAAGAGCGATTTTTAGACGATTCAGTGTTCCGCTATGAACTGCACATATATCAGTTCATTTTCAGCTTGCATATCACAATGTTTAAGCAAATTAGAACAACACAAAAACAACATAGAAAGCACGAACAAGTTTTCCATTTTCCAACTTCACGCTTAGACTGCTTCAATGCTTTCTTTAAATATTTTACCTTGGCTGCTATCTCATCTTCAGCGGGTGCTTCTTGGTGAATAGCCACGTTCTCCTTCATTGCATTGACATTGTGAGCCCAAGCAAAAAACTTGCATTGCCTATTTGGGAACTTTGCACATCCCCAGAAGTATCTACCTTTGTTGCTCCCATTTTTGCACTACTTGAGGGGGGTTGGAAGCTTGCAGAAACAAGATGGCTCTTCTACTGATTGAGAGCCATCCTTGGTCTTCATCTTAGTCTCTAAATGAGCTATAAAGGGAGGGAGGGAACAAGAGATATGATTTTACTTGAGCCTTGCATAACATTATATAAAGCAAATGGAACAAGTAGCTATCCGTTGGAATATGTCTGTTGGAACAGTAAACCAACTAGCCGTTGAACAGTCACGTAGATTTGAGAGCTGACAGCAATTTAACCTCAAACAGTGGGCCTTTATGATAACAAATTCAGCTAAAAGTAGTAGTAGTATAGACATAGTTATATGTTAACATGTTTAAGTACAAAATTCAAAACCTTCTGCTGTCTGGCAGCAGAGCACAAAAATCTCCCATTAGTATAATGGAAACTTAAATACAACTTATATTTCTCTAGCGCCATTCCTCCTCTTCATAAGCATGGCACACTAATCATGGATGGGCTCGTTACAAGTTGCTCGGTTGTGCCCTTCCCTCTTGCATCGACCACATTTGACAGGACGTTTCAAGATGGTTCTGTTGTTTATGCGTCTTGTTCTATTTCTTCCCCTCCTCTTCATGGTAATTGGTGGCAAAATCTGGATTTTATCCCTGGGCACACTACGCATCTCATAATCAGGTATGGGATATAATATTTCATCGTAGCTCTTCTTAAACACCTCTACGAACATGAACCAGTCACAATACTGATATACCTCTCTTTTCATATAAATAATGACTGCACAAGCATGCACACAAGGAATACGAGTTACGTCTCAAGCACGGCAAGTGCGTGTCCTCTTCCCCAAGTCAACGTGAGTGGTTCTCTGTGATTGCACTTTGAATATATCATCTCTAGATTGCTTAATCTCTAACGTAGATCCTCTTTCCATATGTTCTCTAACAATCTGCTCAGCTTTAGAACAAAGATAGCTTGTCCACTTTTCAGCCATTATGCGTCTCTTGTTCATGCGAGTCATAATTTGCTTGCGGATATGCTCCACCATTTGCAGGATACGCAACATTCAAGCTTCACGTATCCAGCTGTTAAAGGATTCTGCAACGTTAGAGGTTACATGACCATATCTGCAAACATCAAAATAAAACAAAGTCTCATTCATCATCCAATATATAATAAGATTAACACGTAACCACCAAACTTTCCGTTTAGTAGGAAAAGTTAACATAATAACATGAAAGTTAACATATAGTGATAAACGATAACATATATCACCGATAGTTAAGCTGCAAAAGGGGATATTCACTAGAAATGCTTGAGGGCAGTACCTAATGCCAGGGAAGAAGGCATTCACCCAATGCTCTGGCGAGTAGTTAATTACAATCTCATATGCAGCTGGAGACATCTCATATATATCCTTCATGTAGTCATTCCATTTCTGCAATAGTATATTTATAGCAAGCTGATTGGAGCAAATTCCCCAAAACATGTGTGTCCTTTGCCTTCAATCCCAAAGCCTTTAGCTTAGATCTAAAATTTTCAACCAGGTGCAGAACACATCTTGAGTGAATTGCTTCAGGAAAATATTCTCTCACCGCTTCTTGGATTCCCTTGTCGGCATCAGAAATAATAACCAATTGATGGGGAGGATTGTATGGGTCTGGCCTTTCGTACAGTATAGACCACAAGCATTGCAGGAACCATCTCCAATTATCAACGTTTTCCTGATCACATATGCAATACGCAAGTGGAAATATCTCTTGGTCTCCATCATATGCTACAGCGCTCAGGAGTAGGCCTTTGTATCTATCTTTCAAGAAGGTTCCATCCAAAAATAATAGAGGTCTACACCTATTTAAAAAACCAACGATGCAAGCAGCATAACATATAAACAGTCTTTTGAACCTTCCTTCATTCTGGTCAATGCAAATGTAGCTTCCTGGATTTGTTTTCTTCACTTTTTGCTCATACCTGTACAACAGTGTGACCACATTACACATAAATGTAATACATTAGAACATAAGGGTAATGTATATTAACATGTAAGAGCTGACAATTTTCCATGAAACATAACAGTCCACTGTGACAGCTGAAATATAAATTTATGAAAATACTATAAATATGGAAACATCTAAGGAAATATATTGCACGATAAATTTATACATTTAAACAGATAACTATAAAATTTACCATCTTAATTGATCGTAAGACTCATAACTATCACCGTACATAGCCTCTTGCGCTCTTTCTTTGCCCCACCATATCTTACTGTATTCAAGTCTCAATCCATATCGAGTGAGGAACTCCTTTTGCACATCCTTTGGGCGGATTTCAGGTCGAACCTTTAAGACAGGTTGTAATTATTCTGCTACGAATATACGAGATGCCCATGATTGTCCTGACAAGTTAGTATGTTGTCCGCAACTATGTTCATTCACAAACCTTTTGATTTCAATTCTTTTTTCATTTTTTACAGGGGATGCAAACAGCATCTAATGGCATCCATACGTCTCCTTATATCGACAAATAACTCAGATACGTTTAGGTTTATTCTTTACAAAGTCGTAGTCAAACCTTTTCGCCATGGAATAGTATTGCAACGCTAGTCTCAAATCATTAACAGTTACAAATTGTTGGCCCTTTTCAGTTAATGTTGTGTGCCAACAGTCTGGAATGTTGTAAGTTTTACTGATAATATCATCAGCTCTCATTACAATCTCACCAGACGGGTAATCATTTGGGATTCTCTCTGAATTGGAAGTATTTCCGCCAGAAGGGGGATGACAATATTCTTCATTCAAAGAGGCATCATTGTTGCAAAAATTAATCAGCCAGTGATATAAACTTTACACTAGAGTATAAAACTATCTTATAATGTTTAAAACTAACCATTTTCGTATAAATTAATTAAAGAGCAGTGGAATTTAACAGACAATTTACATAGTACTCGTTACGCTGAAAGTTAACATGCTCACATGAAAGTTAACATGTTCAATTGAAGATTAACATCTATCGTCAAAAAATAACATGAAAGATGAAGAGTTAACGTATAAATTTCGAAGATGATAACTATGTTTTTCTACTGCGCATCGAAACCTGAAATCACAATTTTTACATCACACAATCCCAATTTGAGCCAAAGTTCATTGTTTACATATAAATCAGTAATAACTTTGTACTTCCTTTAAGAAGTAGGACACTCTATGTTATCAAAAACTTGCATCTGAATCTGAATCTCCGTACAACAAGTGAAAATATTGTCATCAAACATGCACTTCATGATAGGAAGAATATAGCAATAACGTCACACGACACCGTGCACGTCGAGCAATTGGAAACCGTTGGGGGTTGTTGACAGTTATGACGATAATTAATTTGTTAAATTGAAGGGATTCAAAGCGCATAACGGGATTCCAAAAGATGAAGTTAAAACACACTTAAAATGTTATGTGGCTTTGCCTTAAAGCATGAAATCAGTATGTTCACGTCACACAAAGCTAAATGTTATAAAGAGTCATTAATTACTTACATTCCACCAATAACTTTCTTGTTTATTTCAGAACTGGAACACTCTTTATTAACAGCACTATTAACAACAGCGAGCATGTGAATCTCTGTACAACCGACATTTCGATTGTACTCCAACATGCACTTCAAGTCATCTTCGTTGTCAACCGAAAAAGTCAAGTTGGGGTGCCTCTCAGATTTATATACCAAGGATAAAGCTTCTTCAGGTACTTTCATTCTTTCAGTCACATCAAATTTCAGTTCATAAAACCGTGTTGTCGAGCAGAGCTTCATAAATATGGCCTTCTCGCCTAAAGACACCATACAAATCAAGTCATCGGCGGCCATTGGGAGTGGTTGAGAGTTATGAACACAGTTATGAGGAGTAATGGAGGGGATTTAAAGCTCAGAACGGTTGTTGACAGATAAAGGGGAAAAAACCCTGATTTCATAAATGGGAGAATAAGAGAAAAAATTACCCGAATTTATATCCCATTAATAAGGAGCTGAAGCGGACCAGTAATGGAGGGAACCCGCCTTTTTTTCCCCCGCTTTTCGTCGTCTCTTCGCCTTAACTGCGATGGGAGAGATCGGGGATCATTGATGGCTGCCTGTAGCCAGTTCCCAGTGAGAGACGAGGGCATTTCGGGTCTTTTTGCCTAAATACGCGGAGCATACGTATAAAAGAGGGCTAAAGGGGCTGGACCACACGAATAACGCATTTTTGGGGCGCCAGCCCAAGGGGAATAATTGGTAGGGCTGGGCCACCTCAAGGACACGATTTTGGGGCCTGGACACAATTTTCCCTAAGATTTTGATCAGAAATCCCCCCCTTACTTTTTTTAACTAGCAAACGAATAGAAATGTAAGAGAAGCTCGTATCCAATCTAATAAATTGGATTCATTTGTACCGTTAATTACCGAAGACTTCGGTCAACCTCCTTTAACAACAGCCAATTAACAATCCCCGAGACGTATCAACGTACCTCTGAAATTCTGTCGGCACCCGAAAACAAAACGCCCACCAAACTGACCAGCACCCGCACCGAGTCACGTTCCGGGTCCCAAAATAATCACAACAAAACCGGCCCCCATCCCCTACAGTTTTCCTCTCACCATTTCCTTCGTCTCTCCTCCCAAATCCTCCCCTCAACACCCTCATCGTTTCCCGAAATGGAGCTCAAATCTTTATCAGCGGCGTCGGATTCTCCCTCAACCGGTACGAACTCTATACCTATTTCCTATTTCGACAAAATTTTTGAGCCTAGATCTGTGAATTTACGCTAAAGTTCCCGACTTTAGGTGAAACTCGGTGAAATTATTGGGATTCCAGTGCTTTGAGATGGAAAGCTCGAGCTTTTCTAAGAGATCACAGAGCAGTAACGGGAAATCCTCGTCAATCAAAGATTCTAGAAATTTTAATGAAATTTTATCGCTAACGGATGCTTCTCTCGGGAGAAAGATGGGAACTTTGGGTGTGTCTAAGAGGCTACTGAGAAATTTTAGCCAAAACTTGAAGAAAAAGAACAAGAAAAATAGGAAAAGGGACGACCTTGGTAGCTTTCTTATTGAAGAGAGGGCACTAGAGAGACCCTCTTCCAATTGCTTCAGCCTTTACATTAAAGGTGGTGGGTGTAGTAGAGTAGGCTCTTGCGAAGAAATCGACATAAACAGTTTGAGAAAATTAAGCATCTCCGAAGATTGCCTTCCGGCTAAGGCGATTGAGAAGAGAAATTCGAGGAAATCGAAGGCCTTAGAGCCCGAAATCTCACTTCCCACTGATGTAATAGAGAGGATATTGGTTAGGCTCCCCCTAAAAACTCTTGTATCATCACGACTCGTGTGCCGAAAGTGGAATCAAATGATAATTTCACCGTATTTCGCGCGGCTGAGATCGAGATGTGGTTATAACAATCCATGGTTGTTCTTGTTTGGATTAACGAGGAAAGGTGTCCATCTTGGGGAGGTTTTTGCTTTGGATGTTGGTGAAGATTGTTGGTATGTTATTCGAAATGAGTTGTTAGAGGAGAGGGTTTTGTACTCAGTTGCTAGCATTGGGATGGATGTTTATATTGTTGGCGGGCGCACTGGTTTAAGAACGCATGAAGGGGTTTTAATGTTTAGTCCTTTGACAAACACATGGAATGAAATTTCTCCGATGAAGGTGGCAAGATCCGAATCTGTGTTGGGTGTCTTTGAAATGAGTTCTAATTGTAGTATTTTCCAAAAAAGAAAGAACAGGCAAAGCCAAAATCGGCTCAAGTTCAAGACTCGTAATTGTGGGGTTTCTGAGGTATACGAGGACCCTCATAGATTCTCTCTTCGACGACAATTTAGGGATGCTTTCAATGAGAGCCCTAGTTCAGTAGAAACCAGGAGAGAACCATCCAAGGTAGATGTACAACAGGTCAATAATCAACCCAAATTCGCTTTGATTGTTGTTGGAGGTGTTGGATCACTCTCTGAGCCTCTCCGTTCAGGAGAAATCTATGATCCTGCAACCGATAATTGGACGGAGATTTCAGGATTACCTGAAGAACTCGGGTCGGTTAGCTCTGGTGCTGTTTGTAATGGGAAGTTTTATGTTTATTCATTCGTGTCTAACAAAATTGCGAGCTATGATCTCGAGAGAGGCTTTTGGGTTTTAATCCACACATCTCAACCTCCTCTCTGTATCCGACCATACAGACCAAAGCTCGTTTCTTGTACAAATCGTCTCTTCATGTGTTGTGTTTGTTGGTCAGAAGGAGACGAGCAAGTTGCAAGAAAGCTTTTTGAGCTCGATACTGTGGCAAATTATTGGAGTGAAGTGTCAAGACATCCAGATGCGCCGATGGATAAATACGCGACGTTTGTAGCGGTCGGAGAGAGGATTTATGGGTTGGATATGTTTAGGGTTTTTGGTCAGGCATTGGATTTTTTAACGGCGTGTAATGTTTCTAATGATGAGATGGGGTGGAGTCGAGTTACAAGGAAGCACGCGGGTCATGAAGCGTGTGATTTCTCGTGCAGAACGAAGTCGATGGTAATCCTAAATTTGTAATTTTTATCCTGTTGCTTTTTCTTTTCTTTTTTATCTGTATGTTAATTTTTATTCTGATAGGGGAAACATTATAAAATTTACTATTTGTTGGTTTGTTTGGGGCTTATATTGTGCATATCCTATTGTTTCATAGTTAATTTGTAAAGGATGTAGTTATGTTTGAATCGAGTGTATTCTGTTCGAGGAGGCCGTCGATCATCACGTTCATGCTTCTGATGTGTATGTTTTTTTGCCCACAGCTAGTTTGAAGAATGAATTTGAATCATCACTTATTTTGAACTTATGCAGTTATTGTTTACATTTTAGGCAGATAATATCAAGTTTAATCTAAAGCATTATGCTTACAACTTTTTAGCTATTACACTGGATACTTGACGAAGTTATCTCTTTTGTGTGTGTGTGTGTTTTGTGGGTTCAATGATGTTGTCATAATTTCTTAATCTTTCCACTTTTCCATAAGTCTTGCTGCATTTATATTTAGCTAAGAGTTATCTTAACCTTATCCTATGTTGTTCTCTGAGATAAATAAACTAAAAAGTTTTCTTAAGGAAAGTGTATACTTTTAGTTCATAGTTTCTGGCTTCTTTCAGTAATTGATGGTGTTATCACGTTCTTATATGATTTATCTAGAACATGTTTTCACAAATTTATTCCTCCTTAGCGAAAGGATATGCATCATAGTTACCAGGATCCAGAAGGCTAAAATTTCTGATAAATCATTGTACACCATGGAGAAATACATAGATCAAGTCAATAATTGCTTTCCAGCAATTTCTGATAAATTTAAGAGATCAAATCAAATTGTGCAGTGTATCCAATTTTATAAGAATAAACTACTAAGGACCTGTGGGTAAAGTCAACCTAATTTGTTCATAGTCATACAGATACATGATATTTATCAGAAATATCAGAAACTCTGCGGTTTATCAATAATGTTCAAAAGTCAATTATCACATTTAAGGAGGGGCCTATGCATAAAATTGCTCTTTCTGTTCTCTTAACTGTAGTTACATTCATTACATCAAAATATTGACTTGTAGAGAACAAAGAATGAAGGACAATGCCTTCTCTCATTCCTCCAGTTGCCAAGATGTAACTGAAAGATCACAAAACCATTCTAAGGACATCAAATGATCTGTTAATGCATCAAGTGTTGAGTGTACATAACTTGAATTCTCATGGCTCGTATCTTCAACCATGAACTCATATACATCACCATTTATTTCAATCGAACTTCTCCCTTTACCCTTTCTTATCCCCCTCTCTTTCATGAGCTTCCTTAGCCTTTTCATATCCTCCCATCTCTGATTCTCATAAAACATATTAGAGAGAAGAACGTACAAACCCCCATTATATGTCTCCAATTCTAAAACATGCTTCATTACTTGTTTCCCTACCACAATATTACCCTGAATCCTACAAGCCCCAAGCATAGCTCCCCAAATAACAACATCAGGCTTCATCGGCATACTAACAATCATCGCAACTGCTTCATCGAATTGGCCTCCTCGTCCTAGGAGATCGACCATGCAAGCATAATGTTCAATTTCATATGGAATTTTATAGACTCGATGCATTGATTTGAAGTAATATCGACCAAATTCCACCAAACCAGCGTGATTACATCCACTTAACAAACCGGTAAATGTGATCCGATCGGGATTGAAGCCCTCGTCTACCATGCACTCGAAGAGTTGAACTGCATCAAGTCCACGACCATGCATTGCTAAAGCCCCAATTATGATGTTCCAAGATATCAAATTCTTTATCTTCATTGTGCTAAAGTTATTTAACGCAACATCTACATGCCCACATTTTGCATGCATGTCGATTATGGAGTTTCGTAGGGTGATACTCGGATCCACAATATTTCCACGAATATAATCATGGGTTTTCTCTCCGATGACCAAATTGCCAGTTTGGGAACATGCGGAAAGAACGTTAACCAGTGTATTCTCATCTGGGGTTATCCTCAAATTTTGCATGTGGCTGTATAGTTCTAGCCCTTGTCGACAAAGTCCATGTTGAATATAGCAAGAGATCATCGCATTCCACGAAACGATGCTCTTTTCAGGCATTCTATCGAACCAAACCCTGGCAAGATCGATAAGCCCATGCTTCGCATGAGCACAAACCAAGGACGTCCATGATACCACGTTCTTCATAGGCATTCGATCAAAGCACAGCCGAGCCATGCGTAACTCGCCACATTTTCCATACATGTCCAACAAAGCATTCCAAAGAATCAAATCGAATTCAATCCCGTTGACAGTTACAAACCAATGTACAAATCTTCCAAACCCTAAATTTCCCGATTGTAACGAGAGCGAAAGGATGCTAACCAAAGCAAACCCGTCGGGCTTCAAACCCAACTCCCTCATCATCACAAACAACCTATAAGCTTTCTCAGAGTCACCAATTCGACAATACCCATCAATCATGGAATTCCAGGAAACAACACTTCTTTCAGGCATTTCAGCGAACACAGCGCTGGCGAACCAAACCGACCCACCTGTTGAATAAGCATGAAGAAGCGCGTTCATAACAAACACGTTAGACTCGAACCCGATTTTAACAATCAACCCATGAATCAATCTCGTCTCCTTCAGAGCCGCGACATTAGCACACACCTTAAGAACAAATGGGAATGTGAAATTATTGGGCAAAATGCCATTGCCCATCATTCGATGATGTAGGACAAGGGCTTCAGTTGAATTATTGTTGGTATAGGAATAGGCTCTGATTAGGGTATTGTACATGAACCTGTTGGGTTTTTCGACGCGATTGAAGGCTCTGCGAGCGTAGGAGAGGTCAGAGAGGGAGGTGAAGGCGATCAGGGTTGCAATTGTTAGGGTTTCTTGGGTGAGCCCATGGGTGATGAGCTGGGCATGGAGTTGTTTGAGGTTTTCCGATGAAGAGCATTTTTGGAGGAGAAAGTGGAGGGCTTGGTGGGCGAGAGATTTGAACTTTTGAGA